TGTGGCCTTTTCTCCCTTATTGTAAGGACAATACACGGGCATGTTCGGGCCGATCCAAGAGTTATCGAGGATGCTCTATCGATTCATGGGTGTATGTTTGGGTCCCTACTCAGTTCGACACGGCGAGATAGAACCTGGCCATTTCATCAGCTCAAATAATCCATCACTCATATTCTAGGAGGAGCTTGGTCCTATGATATACCGGGTGTACCAAAGTTTTGCGACATTTTTAATTTCACATATTGCTCGACTTGACAAAATGATAAAACGTTGGCTTATTTTTTAAAAGATGCGCCGTGAAAAGTTCTACAAAATTGTATAAAAAATTCCTATTTCTTGTTCTGATCGTTCTTCCCATACTAAAAATGGAAAAGCAACATGATAGTGCTTTGTCCCACTGCATTGAGTATAATAAAAGTGTTTGGAAGACTTTTTTGTTTGATTTGGGAAAATGATAAAATCTTGATTTTTCTTTTAAAAGATGCGTCGTGCAAAGCTCTACAAAAACTGTTCAAACAATCCCTAGTGACTTGTTCGGATGGTTTTCCCCATACTCAAAATGAAAAACCACATGATAGTGCTACTTTCTCCATACTGGACCTGTTTAGATGACTTTTTGTTCTGGATCTATCTCGGTTTGAGAAAATGATAACATCTTGATTTGTCTTGTAAAAGATGCACCGACAAAAGCTCTACAATAGTGGTATGAACAAATCCCTATTGCAAAACAAAAAAGGTCTTGCAAAGATTTTTTATTACCCTTAATACGGTGAGAAGTAGCACTAACAATTAGCTTTTTCATTTTGAGTATGGGGAAAACCATCAGAACAAGTTAAAAGAGATTTGTTTACACAATTTTTGTAGAGCTTTGTACAGCACATCTTTTAAAAGAAAAATCAAGATTTTATCATTTTCCCAAGCCGAGATATATACAAAACAAAAAAGATCTTTGAAACATTTTTATTACGGCGGGACAAAGCACTATCATGTTGCTTTTTCATTTTGAGTATGGAAAGAACGATCAGAACAAGTCAATAGAAATGTTTTTATACATTTTTTGTAGAAATTTTCATGGTCCATCTTTTAATAAATAAACCAAGGTTTTAACATTTTGTCAAGTCGAGTTATATGCGAAATTAGAAATGTCGCAAAACTTTTGGTACACCCGGTATATCATAGGACCAAGCTCCTCCTAGAATATGAGTGATGGATTATTTGAGCTGATGAAATGGCCAGGTTCTATNATTCCAGAAAAATATGTTGATTCAATTTTTGAATTACTGGCATATCTTTGTTTTCTATGATAAAAATGTAAGAAATTTCTCAAATTTTTTGATTTCGATATTATAAAGTTCCTAAAATTCTTCCTATTTAATACTGATAAATTCTATATTTCACGAGTTTTAATACGATATAAAATTCATAATATATTCGTTGATGAAATAATATTATTTTCTATGGAATACCATATTGACTTGTCACATCCGAATGATTTTCGTTTAAAAGATCAAATTTGATTAAAACAACATGACAAAGTTGTTTCAGCTTAATTATATTTGATTTCAAAGCCGCATAAAGTAACTGAAATTTTATATTTTTGTCCATAATATTATTATAAATTTGGTCTGTGTATATAGGAAAGAACATTATTAAGAAAGAATTTTCATATCGATGAATAAATTAATAATTGATATTTCAAAGTTTTTAGATGAATTGACTCTACAATTATTTGATAAATATGTTCGTTAACCAAGTTGTTCGCTGTTTATTCTATATAAGTGTATGTTTTTGTATAAGCACTAGACAAATTTATTTGTGAGGAATCTAAATAGTGCGAGTTTGACTGTTGCATATGCATTTCTTTTCTCAAGTTTGTTAAAATAAGGAAGAACAAAAAAAAATGAGAGAACGCAACAATAACAGAATAGAAAAAAAGAAAGTCCATGTGCAACTCATGTCGTCCTAGATATATAAAGATAAAGTTAATCATACTGTTCTAAGCATTTATTTTATTTTCAATATTCATATATACACAAATAATATGCCGCTTGCATTGGTGATACATGAAAATAAGAAGCTTGTGATTGAAGAACTTGATGTAAGTCATGATATATTTTACTGAAATAATAATTAGTGACTTGTTTGATATTTATTCAGCTTCCTAAATATGGACCCAATGACCTTCTAATAAAAGTAACACATGTTGCACAGAATCCGACAGATTGGAAACATGTTCATTTTGGTTTTGCTAAACCTGGATCTATTGTTGGTTGTGATTTTTCTGGTGAAGTCGTTGAAGTAGGAAAAGAAGCTACCGGTCAGTATTTAGATATTTTTTTTTGTTTTTTCTTTTTAAAACACATTTGCTTCTCTTTTATGAAAGTAAATAGAAATGTGTCTTTAATCATATATTGAGAAAATAGAACTTACCCTTATCTTAGCACATATTGTTATGTACACTAAACTTAAACTTATAGTTTATTTATTAATTTGCTTTCAGTAACGATTCTTTATTAATCGATATTTTTTTCTTTTTCTATAGAGAGGTCAATGCGTATGTTCTGTTTATACTTGTGATGGATCGTAAGCAGTAAGAAAGGGTAATACGTTCATTTTTGTATCGTCATAAATCGTGACAGAACAGAAAAAAAAGTCGTGATAATAGACGATTGTAATCGTAAAAGCTGCGGCAAAATGAAAGAACAAATAAATAACAGATAGTTTAATGAACGTCATATGTTTCTAACACGTTATCATATATGTTTTATGTAAGAACAAAACGAAAGACAAAGTTTTTGATACTGTCTTCTTTTCTCAAAATAAATTTTCTCGAATTTTTTTTTTCTTTAGTATAATAAGTGAGACAATAATTCATCAAGAAATTCACAGTATCATAATTCACTTTATATTTTTCGAATAATCTAATCATTTCTTATGCCTCATCTCAATATTAAATGGGGCATTTTCACTGAGGTTTAAAATTCATATCATTTTTTTTGTATTTGATAAATAATTGATGAATTAGTTTACTTAATAATTAGTTTATTGATAAACTATTGTATCGTTTTTCTTGATTAAAAATTTGAGAAAACGTATTCTTTAGACGATTAATTTGATGAAGATTAGAAACAAGTTAGAAGATTTGAAAATATCTTTCTTACTGAAAGTCAAGTCAAGTATAACTTGATTTGATTTGATTTGTCAAGCTTTGAGAACGCCATTAATTTTCTTTATTTCTTAATCTATAGATTTAAATGTTCCATTAAAAATTTTCTCATTATGTTTAAAGTTGTTATTACGTTATATCATGTCAGATTTAATAAATCTATAATAGGTTATAGTTATTTGATTATCCTTTATATTCAATGGTTATTATGTGATATCGTATCTTAACATTTTACGAGAAGGTAGAAAAAAAAATAACTCACGATTGAACAAAAGAAAACACATGTATCAACTTACGTATATTCAGGAAAACAGAACAAATTGACGATATAACGTAATTGTTTTTTTATTTCTTTCTTTCGTTTGTTCGCCATAATTAAAATATAATGTTGCGGTATACGAAGAGGTTTTGAGTGATCACTAGTTTATAACTCTTACATGACATTGAGATATTCCAAATATATATGTAAATATACTTATTTTCTTCATTGATTATTAACTACATAATATATTTATATTATGTATTAACGTATCTCTAAATTTTTTAATTTAATTTTTTTCGTTTTTCGATTGATCTTCAATTTCGTTCAGTTTATAAACTTTCTAAATTTCATTAAATTCTAATTATTTTCTTTGATCTTTTCGTTTTCATTTGAGAGATGCTAATACTTAGTTATACTTTTAATTCTATTTATGAGGTTATATATTTATGGGCTTATTTTTCACACAGCGTAAATTTTGGTGATAATCTAAACAAGTTAGATACACTCTAAATAAAATTCTTAAAAGATATGTATTATCAAAGGCTGTAAAAATTATAATGTGGTGTTATAAATTCATCTATTGTTTTTGAACTGTGCTTTTGTCTCTATTTAACTGAGAGTTTCGATAGATCGATTGAGATTTTGTGTCTTGAACAATTGTTTATTTACTTATTTCATGTACCGGGTGTACCAAAAGTTTTGCGACATTTTTACTTTCACATATAGCTCCACTTGACAAAATGATAAAACGTTGGTCTATTTTTTAAAAGATTTGCCGTGAAAAGTTCTAAAAAATGGTATAAAAAGATTCCTATTGACTTGTTCTGATTGTTCTTTCAATATTGAAAATTGAAAAGCAACATGATAGTGCTTGTCCCACTACATTGAGTATAATAAAAGTGTTTGGAAGACTTTTTTGTTTGATTCGGAAAAATGATAAAATCTTAAGTTTTCTTTTAAAAGATGCGTCGTGCAAAGCTTTACAAAAACTGTTTAAACAATCCCTGGTGACTTGTTCTGATGGTTTTCCCCATACTCAAAATAAAGAACTACATAATAGTGTTACTTTCTATCATACTGGGCCTGTTTGGAAGACTTTTTGTTCTGAATATATCTCGGCCTGAGAAAGTGATAATATCTTGATTTTTCTTGTAAGAGATGCGCCGTCAAAAGCTGTATGAACAAATCCTTATTGCAAAACAAAAAAAGATCTTGTAAAAATTTTTTTATTACCCTTAATAAGGTGAGAAGTAGCACTAACATTTAGCTTTTTCATTTTGAGAATGGGGAAAACCATAAGAACAAATCAATAAAGATTTGTTCATACAACTATGATAGAATTTTTTGCAGCGCATTTTTTAAAAGAAAAATCAAGATTTTTTTCATTTTCTCAAGTCGAGATATATACAAAACAAAAAAAGGTCTTTGAAACATTTTTCTTACGGTGGGAAAAAGCACTATCATGTTGCTTCTTCATATTGAGTATGGGAAGAACGGTCAGAACAAGTCAATAGAAATGTGTTTATACGTTTTTTGTAGGAATTTTCTCGACGCATCTTTTAAAAAATAAACCAAGGTTTTACTATTTTGTCAAGTTGAGATATATGCGAAATTAGAAATGTCGCAAAACTTTTGGCACACCCGGTATACACTTTGAACATCTCACTTATTTGCAATGTAGGTAAAATATGTCGCCATTTGAATTCTACAAAACTTTATTTTATGTAATCATTTTTTTCTTTAAATATTGATGTCAAAAAAACGCAAAACAATGCTATGTTTTCGATGTTTTATCTTTGCATATACAATTATCAATAAGGATATTTACTATATCATAACGACTCTAAAAATGATTTCTTTAGATGCATTATATCTAAAATCAAATATTCTGAGGATTTGAATGAAAATAAATTTTCTTTTCATTGTTCTTAATAGTGAATTTGACATTGATTAATATCACATTTGAAAATATACTCAATTAAAATAGTTTTCAAATAATAATATAAAAGAAACAAAAAAGTGATTCTTTTAGAAAATTCTTTGAATTCTTGATTGAGAAAAATTAAAGTACACAGTAGTTATAAACATTTATCGAATTTTAAAATCTACAGATAATAATCGAGTCAAATTCAAAGATTTCTACTTATATATAGGTTTTTATAATATTTTATCTTCATAAATAGATAACAATGAATTTCTAATATTAGTTGTTTAATAATTGAATTGATTTTATACGAATATTAAGAACAATGTCTTTGCTCAGTTGAATGATGTCTACAGATATTTTAAAAAATCTTACATGAGTTATAGGATTAATGAGGTAGTGACTCAGAATTTTTATTAGAACTTTATAAATTATTCTATGAACTTCTATTTGAAGCAAAATGATTTTCCTATTAAATTTTTAAAAGCTGCAAATTAAGAATCTTCTCTAAACATTCTAATATTCGGTAAGATCAGTTTCTTTAAATATATATGCAAAGAATTTCTCTGATGATATTTTCAGATGAAATATAACGAATGTCTAATCTAATAAAGTATTCAAACATATATTCTTATCATATCTGTTGTTTATTATTTCAGGTAATTATAAAAAAGGTGAACGTGTAGCTGGTTGTGTTCATGGTGGTCTTGATCGTGAATTTGGTATTCGTGGAGCTTATTCAGAATATGTTGTTCAAGAAGCATCACTTGTTTTTCGTTATCCTTCTCGTATTTCTCCTGAATCGGCTGCCACAATTCCACTTGCCACTATTACAGCAGCTCTAGGTCTATTTCATGAAATGGATTTGCCTTTACCACCTGCTACATGTGAAACACTTATACTCGTTTGGGCAGGTAGTACAAGTGTTGGTCAATATGCTATTCAATTAGCTAAGGCAGCAGGTTGTTTTGTTATTACTACGGCATCATCCATTCGTCATGATTATTTAAAAGAACTTGGTGCTGATGTCTGTTTTGATTACAAGGATCGTGATGTTGTCTCGAAAATAAGACAAGTAACTAAAGATAATTTATCATACGCTTTTGATTGTATATCAGAGAAAAAATCAATTGAATATGTATGCGCAGTACTTAAAGGTAATAATTCACAAGTAGTCACTGTTTTACCAGGCATCTCAAATGAAATACCATCACATATCAAAGAACGTCATATTATGATGTATACAATATTTGGACGTGAAATAAATACATTTGGTCAACATTATGATGTTAAACCACAACATAAAGAATTTGCCGAGAAATTTTACAAACTACTTTCTGATGTTTTGTTGCCTAATGGTTTGATCAAACCGAATAAAGTGAAAAACATGCCAGGTGGACTCAATAGTGTTGAAGATGGATTCCAACTAATGATGAATAATAGAGTATCAGCTGAAAAATTAGTCTATACAATAGCCGAGACAACAAATCAATAGACATAACCTTACATAAAAACAATATGAACATGTTTCATATTTTATTCTTTAGTTGTAACGAGATTATTTTTTTTTATTTTAAGTAATAATTAAGCAAAAGTGAGATATGGTGAGTGAAAAATCAAATCCACATCTCACAATCTCATTAAAAGAAACAAAAGTAACATATTAATTAAATATGAACATTTAAAAAAAAACAACATTCAATACGATTTTTACCAATAATTTAATTTTAAAAATGAAAACAAAAAGACTAGACAATAAATTTAATTGTAGTAGATTTAAATTATAAGTTTATTTTTAACCTATGATTCTGATTTACTAGATACAAATACAATTAATTTGGTTCAACATTTTATTAATAAATTAAATTATTTTTAGTTGTTGTTCAACAAGTATGTGGCATCAATAAAACAATGAAAACATTCATGGGCATGATAGCGAAAAAAAAACTCTATTATATACAGTTGTAATACGGATTTGAGTGTAGGTACTCTTTTCTTTTCTTTTTTTACATTCATTATTCAACTCAACACCAACAAAACATCAGAAAGTAGTTTGTAAAATTTCTCGGCAAATTCTTTATGTTGTGGTTTAACATCATAATGTTGACCAAATGT